AGAGAGAGAGAGAGAGAGAGAGAGAGAGAGAGAGAGAGAGACAAGAGTAAAGACAACCCCACAAAGTGTTCATAAGCCCCATGTTCACGTCTATACTCGAGGCCACTGGACACGGATGTAACGAGTAGCTTTTGACCACCAGTAAAAAATATGGCTGTTGTTTTGTCTCAAAACTTAAAAAAATAAAACAAAAGAAGACGCGCCCCACCCCCACGTCCGTCACGCTCACGGACCAGTCACATTCTCGCCACCCCAGACGTCCTCTCTGATTCCTTCTTTTGGGTTCCAGAACATCCGGCCTCATGGAATGTTACGCCCAGATGCACAGCTGGAGTCTTTCTCTGTCTCAGTGATCATGTTCACTTTGTTATATAATAAATAATAATATATTTTTTCTTCTAATTTTCTTAATGGGACCCAGTCCCTTATTAGAGGGAGATTGGAGGCAAGTATAGTTCAAACTATATACTTGTGGGTTTCCCCCCACATCACCCAGCCCTAAAACTTTCACTCGCCACCCTCTGCCTAAGAAAAGCACCTACCTCTGCCACGGGATGTTTCAGGAAGGGTTCCCCAGTCCCCAGATGGTTTTTTGAGTTTGTTCTGCAGTCCCCACCCTCGGGACGCTCACTTTTGCCTTTTGTTTGTGGATGGAGTTAGGATAAGATTGGGCTCCACCGACGTCCTATCTTCTCCCCGGCTTCCCAGCCTCGGGTCTCTCCAGCCGTCTGTCGCTAAATCGTGGCCTATAGTTTCCTGTCCGGAAATCTTGCTTTGAAAAACTTAAAAAGGCCTGGTTTACATGTGGGCAGGACCGTGATAAGCAGGGTTCGAGCTTGTGCTGACAAGAATTATGAAAAAAAGCCAGAATAAATATTCTTCACGATAAAAAACAAAGCCAGCCCCTAGCTTCCAAACTTCCACCACCAGGGATCCAACAGGGACACAAAGGAAAAGCTACCATTCCTCAAGAGGCGAGAGGCACTCGCGGAAGATTTTTCTCCAAAGCAATCATTTCAGTGCCGACACAGCACTGTGGGCACCGAGAGTGGAAAACCATATTAGAGGAAAGTGTGTACGTAGTGTTACTGTAGGGTTCTTCAGATGTAATATTTTACTTGTACTATTTATTTATAAATAGGAATTCTAATTAAGTAATAACATGAAGCCCAGAATGGGAGTTGACCAAGAGCTTTTAATTTTATTGATACTCGAAACCAAGTGTGTGTTTCATTTTTCCTTTTGAATGTGCTTTGCTTTTCTTGGCTTAAAAAATTTTTTTTTAACTGACCCTAATTAAAAAAAAAAAACAAACAAAAACAGGGTAATCTGTGAGGCTGAGTCTGTCCATGTACGAGAGAGCGTGAGGTTGTTTGTAGAGAGTGTCTTTTTTTAAAATTTCGTCTCTTCATGTTGCTAAGGGGGGGAGGGTGAGAATTAGTATTCGTTTCTTATATGTGTGTGCTAATTAATGCCTAATAAATACGATGTGCTTAAAACAGTACAAGAGACTCGAACACCCGTTTTTTTTTTTTCTTCTGTTTTTGCTACTGATTGCAGAGAGAGGGGCCATGAATTGGAGGAAACCAGAAGGAGCGAAGGAGTTGTCTTGCGTTTGAATTTTGTACACCTGCCCTTTTTCTAGCTGCTGACAGGGTGTTCTGGGTCTATCGTCTTTGAATGCCACGAAGCTGAATGTATTCAGCTGTTTGTTATGGCCCTGGGATGGGGTAACTTGCTTTGAATGACTTTGTAGTGTATCATCATGGGAGAAGACCAGCGTTAGCAGCCCCGATGGATGGAACTCTGGTATTGGCCTTACTCAAGCGACTAACACCCTGGTTTTCTAAAGTCCACCTTTGAACTGACTGTCAGAATCAAGGTGTTCTGGAGGCTCCGATGCAAACCGTTTCATGGCCCAGCATTTGCTTTGACCCCTCGGATTCCAGATTTGGGAATTGGCCCTCTGTATAGGGTCAGCACTGAGCAGGGGAATCAGTTAGTGGGTAAATTAGTGCTGCAGTGTTTCTTTCAGTTTTTGTAATTTCCCACATCTCTCAGATTAGCACAAGCCCCCGAGTATGTAGCAGTCTCTTGAAACAGGAATGATTGGATGGTTGATTACAAATCATTCATTTCATCGGCCCCCCCTAGGGACCTGCCCCTGGGCAAATTACTCCTGAGAAGTGTGAATTAAGTGCAGAGAAAGGACAACGCTTACTTCCACTTGCATTGGAGAAAAGATGGCTTGTCCGTCCGGTCCCCAAGGGACTGAGTTAGCAAAGTCGCAGGGAAGAAGTTCTGAAGGTTTTTTTTTTTTTGGTACCGGGGATTGAAGGTCCTTGCATTTGCAAGGCAGGCCACCGAACCACTGAGCTAAATCCCTGGCCCTATATTTTAAATAGATATGTATTCTGATGAGTTTAACTTTTAGAAGTTTGCCTTGGGAAAAAAGAAAATCACCTTCCACATGAATTTTACCAACCATCACAGTCTTACTCTTTCAGCAGAGCCTCAGGTAAATATAAATTGAATATTTCTTATTTGAAATGCTGGGGGCCAGAAGGGTTTCAGATTTTGTAATTTTGGTTTTGGATCATAGGATATTTGCATATACATCTGCATACATTTGCATACATGCATATATGGGATGGTACTCAATTCTGAATATGAAATTCATTTGTGTTGTACATAACTTTTCTATTGATCATCTGAAGGAATTTAGTGTAGTAGTCTTAGTGCACTGCCTTGTGGCTGTGATCTGTCACACAGGTCACCTAGGAAACCTTCCAGCTGTGGTGTCACGTGGGCACTTGGCAGCTTTCAGATTCTGGAGCATTCTGGATTTCAGATTTTCGGATTGGGGATTCACAACCTGTGCTGAATGGACACCTCCTCCTCCACCACTCAAACACTTGCCACTGCTCAGAGGCCACTGCAGCATGCTCACAACCAGTACAATGAAAAGTAAACGAAGAAGAAACCCAAGGACAAGTTCCTAGTAAGTTTCCTAAAGAAAAGGAACACACTCGCTCCATACTAGTTAACGTGTTCAGTTCCAAACAGTAGTTACAATGGATCTTTCCTTGCACTGGAGGAATGAAAGACGATATCCCAGAGTTCACATAGGCAGATGGTTTTTGTTTTGTTTTGTCTGTTTGTTTTGCAGTACTGGGGATTGGACCCAACTAATACTGAGCTGCCTCCCCAGCCCTTTCAGTTTTTTATTTTGAATCAGGGTCTTACTAAGTTGCTCTGGCTGGCCTCCAATTTGTGATCCTCCTGCCTCAGCCTCCTGAGTGCTGGGGTTACAGACACGCCTCCCTCCAGGTCACTTTATTTCATCACTGTGTTGACTTCTGAGCTAAACCTTAGTGGAGAGCAGGGAATGGCCAAATAAAATTTCTGGAAGAAAAGCATTTCGGCAGAGGAACAGCTTGTGCACATGTCCAGGGGCAGAAACGGTGATGGAAGACAGATGTGATAGGCGGCAATTACTTTGTCTGCATTCTTTCATTAATTCAGTGAACATGTATTCGAGTCTCACCCTGTGTAGCAGGTACCCCTACTTGCTGAGGATCTAGTGTAGTGTAAGATTCATTTCCAGTTAACTCTCACAGCTGTGAAGCCCAGATTCTGGCGTGTGGTCCAGCAGGCTCTGTGCTTGGGAGAGAAATGTCATAGCACTCAGAGACTTGGTTAGTATTCTTGAGCTCAGAGAGGTTAGGAATTCCTCTCAGGTCACTAGTGGAAGTGTGGCAGAGTTTAGCACGTTTCCTGACTTTATCCAAGGCTTGGCTTCCTCCTCTCTTATGAGGAGGTATTCTACCTGTCTCAAAGGCCTGGGGTAGGTTTAAGTGAGATAATACCCAGGGAAATACCCAATAAAGTACTTTGCACAGTAGATACTACATGAAGGCTTAAAAAGACTTTGATCAATGAAATACAGTGCTTTATCCACTGACTTAGCAAATAGATATTTAAAAAGTAATGGTGCTTGCGGCCAGTGAGAACATAGGAAATCTCATAAACTCTTTTTGTTGGGATGCAAATGCATTAAATCATTTGGGAGGAGAGTTTGGGCAAACAACCCAAGTCTTCAAAATGGTGCTAAGCATTCAGTCTGATGAATCTGTTTCGAGGGGCTGGGAAGGTGCATAAGTACTTTTTGGGAACTTTGCTTTGCTTTTTCTTTTTTTAATCTGGCAAAATTGGAGGCAGCCTTAGTAGCTAAGGATACGGGATTATGAAGTAAGTGTATGTCCCTGTGGAATACCACAAACTCAAGGTGGTAGGGCCGGGGATTTAGCTCAGTGGTTCTGCCGCCTGCCTCAAAAGTGCAAGGACCCGAGTTCGATCCCCGGTACCAAAAAACAAAACAAAATACAAATTAAAAAACATACACAAGGTGGTAAAGAGACATTGTGAGTCGAAGAAGCAGGCTGCAGTTGAAACAGCAGCCTCCCGATTTTATTAAGTGTTCATTCATGCTTAGAAGAGGCACTAAAACAGTGTGACCGTGTTAGTTTGCCAGCAGGCAGCTCAGTGGGGTTTGGAAAACATCTCGGTCACCAACCAGCACCTCCATCATCACCGTCATCCTCTTCTGCAGCCACTAAAGCCGTTCCCCGCATGGGCATCTTCTCCAACGTGATTTAAGTAACCCACTCTGTAAGGGAGTAGCAACCCTACGCCTTCGTGGCTGGGAAGAGGAGATAATAATTTTGACATCCCGAAGGCTGATCATCCAGCCCTCTTTCATTTCTGATCTCCAAATGCATTTTCATTCCCCTTTACGAAGGAACCACACATGTTAAGCCCACTGAGAGTGCGGTCCCAGATCCTGCCACTGTGAGTGGTGCAAT